CATCGAGAGAGGACCCACGCATCCGCAGCCAAAGGTCCAGGGATTACGGAGGTGCCAGGTCCATTTGCAGCAACCATCTGTCCTTTTTCTGGGAAAATATCAGTTTGGCGAGGGAGGAGCGAATGGGGGTGAGAGGGCAGCTGCTCCCCGGGTGGCTCTGGGAAGACGGGACGGTGCCAGCTCCACCCGCTGGGCCGCGCCCTCTGTAAAGCCCGGCGCCCCTTGGCTGGGCAGGCGACCCAGCTCCCAGCCTGCCACCCACCACAGCCCCCACACCCACATCCCTCTGCCCCACCAACCCGGTTGGCAGAATCCTGCTCCTGCCCCAGTATGAGTCTGCTGGGCTGCGGAACAAATAAATACCCACAAACTGGCTTGAAATAGCAGGAATTCGTTCTCTCCAAAATCAAGGTGTTTCAGGGCCGTGCTCCTGAGAACAGCTCCAGGGAAGGGTCCTAACCGCCTCTCCCAGCCCCTGGGGGCTCCAGGCGCCCCTGGCTTGTGGCTGCTTCGCTCCAGTCTCTGCCTGTCTCCTCTTCTGTCTCTTAGGACACTTGTCATTGGATTTAGGGACCACCTCATCTCAAGACCCTAACTTAATCACATCCACAAAGACCCTTGTTCCAAACAGGGTCAGAGTGACAGGTTCTTGGGGACGTAGCTTTCGGGGTCCCATTCCACCCACCACAACCCTCTGTGTCCACCGCTGTCTCTCCTGCCTGGGCCTGGGTGTTCTCCCCGCCTGGACTCTATTTTTTTTTTTTTTTTTTTTTTGAGACAGTCTCACTCTTTTGCCTGGGCTAGAGTGCCGTGGCGTCATCCTAGCTCACAGCAACCTCAACTTCCTGGGATCAAGCGATCCTCCTGCCTCAGCCTCCCGAGTAGCTGGGACTACAGGCATGTGCCACCACGCCTGGCTAATTTTTTCTATATATTTTTAGTTGTCCGATTAATTTCTTTCTATTTTTAGTGGAGACGGGGTCTCGCTCTTGCTCAGGCTGGTTTCGAACTCCTGAGCTCAAACAATCCGCGCGCCTCGGCCTCCCAGAGTGCTGGGATTACAGGCGTGAGCCACCGCGCCCGGCCCGCCTGGACTCTTGACCCTCACGGTCTCTGGTGTCCGCTCAGCCTTCTCGACACACCTCTCACGGGGTGATTACTCTGCCCTGCTCAAACACCTCCCAGGGCTCCCAGCACCCTTAGCATAAAATCCACACTCCTCCCCACCCATCACTTGAAATTGCCTCACCCGCCTGGAAAGGGGCTGGATTCAAAGCCCCCACCAGTCAGAAAAATGCACACAAAGGAATAAGGACAGTCTCAGGGATGGACAGACCGGCGTAGCACAGAGTGTGTGTCTGAAAAGTTTTATAAGAAAAAGCAGAATGCAAACCAACCGAGACCGACACCCCGTAATGTGTCCCTGACTGTGAGGCCCCCTGACACAGGACAGAGCAGCCTGTGCCCAGAGAGGCGGCGCCAGGCAGCCGCCAGGGCAAGGGTGAGCCTGGCGCAGGCACTGCTTACCGGGTCAGCGGGGCCAGGCCTGAGGGCAGCTGGGAGGACTTTGGCTGCTGGAACAAAGAAGGAAGAGTTTTGGGCTGCCATCCAGGAAGCCTGTGCGTCTCCTTAAACGCTGGCTGTGCCCTGGGGAGGCCGTCTCCTGCACAGAGCAAAGCGGGGGAGAGGCCAGAGAAGAGTGGCTTTCCTTGCACTTGTGTTTGAGAAGCACGTCCAGCCCTGAAATCTCGGGCCCCCCACAGAGCCTGCAAGCCTGAGGCCAGGGTGGGAGAGCCAGTGACAATGCCAGGCGATCACCCACTCCACAGCTCATTACGGCCCAGACAGCGAGGCTGGAGTGACCACCACAAGGAGGAGAATTACATGGGGTGGCAGGCAAGGGGAGCCAGCTGGGCGCCCAGTTAATGTGAGTTTTCAAATAGACAACAGATAATTCTCAGTCTAAGTATATCCCAAATACTGCATGGGATACACTTATGCTAAAATGTAAGCTATCTTTGTAAAATCTGAAATTTAAATTTTACTGGGTGCTATTTCTATTTGCTAAATCTGGCCACCCTCCACTGGTGGCCCTGGAAGGCCTCTCCTTGGAAGTAGAAGGGGACTGGAGGCTCCTGCCCTGGGGCTGGGACGGAGCACAGCTGGGATTGGGGAGGGGAGGGGATCCCCCGCTCTGCCTGCGAGTTGAGAAGGCTCTCCAGGGAAAGGACCAGAAAGCCGGGTCTTCGGGTCTTCGAGGTAGCCAGGCTTTATTTTGTAAACATAAGCCAAGGTCTCCTTGGGGCCCTGAAACTTCCCACAGGCCTGCCCTCAGCCCAACCTCAGGGACCTGCCAGGGAGGGACTGGGCAGGGGCAGGAATTCTGTGAGCCCTGTGCTTATTTACCACCCCAGAGGGGCTTTGAAGCCACATGGGGCCTCACTTCCTGCCCTCGTTCTGTACGTAGCTTCCACCACCCTCCATGGGGACTTTTCCAACCCGATGGCCCCTGGGGTTGGGGCTCTTTGGCTCTGGGCATTTCTGAGTTTCCAAGGGCCCTGATGCCAGCTGTTCCTGCAAGTGGGCCTCCCAGAGTGAAGCCCTCAGCTCCACAGCTGTTTTGTTTTGTTTTATGTATGTATGTGTGTATTTATTTATTTTAAGAGCCTGAGTGTCACTCTGTCACCTGGGTTGGAGTGCAGTGAGTGGCATCATCACAGCTCACTGCAACCTCCAACTCCTGGGCTCAAGTGATCCTCCTGCCTTGGCGTCTGGAGTAGCTGGGACTACAGGCACGAGCCACTGAGCACAGCTGCCTTAGTTTTTAATTGAGGTGTAATTCACATGTCATACAATCCACCCATTTAAAGCATACAGTTCAGTGGTTTTAAGTGTCTACACAGAGTTGCACAACCACCACCATGGTCAATTTTAGAACCTTCGCATCAGCCCGAAAGGAAGCCCCGTCCCTATCAGCAGTCACTCTCCACCCCCTCCCCAGCCCCAGCACCCACGAATCCATGTGCCATCTCTGTGGATCTGCCTGTTCTGGACGTTTCATATAAATGGAGTCTCACACTGTGTGTCCTTCTGCATCTGGTGTCTCTCACTGAGCACGATGTCCTCAAGGTCCCTCCACACTGTGGCCTGTGTCAGAGCCTCGTCCCTTGTCATGGCTGAGTAATTGTCCATTGTATGAATGCATCACATTTTGTTTATCTTTTCATCTGTTGAAAGACATTTGTGTTGTCCAACTTTTTTTTTTTTAACGGCTGCCCTGGGTTGTCCAACTTTTTAGCCACTGTGAATCTGCTGCTGTGAACATTTGTGTACAGGTTTTTGTGCAGACATTAGTTTTCATTTTTCCTGAGTGGAATTGCTGGATTAAATAGTGACTCTATGTTCAAGGAACTTTGGAGGAACGGCTGGGCTGTGTCCCCAGCAGCCGTTTCAAGTTCTCAGCAAGGCTTGCTATTACCTCCCTTTTTCTAGCTCACTTCCGGGTGTGAAGGGCTGTCTGATATGCGTCTCCCTGGGGGATAATGATGTTGAGATCTTTTCCTGTGCTTGTTGGCCAGTTTGTGTATCTTCTTTGGAGAGATGCGTATTCAGATCCTCCGTCCATAGCTAAATGGCGTTATCTGTCTTTTTATTATCGAATTTTAAGTGTTCTGTATATATTCCGGATATAAGTCCCTTGTCAGATATGGGATTTGCGAATATTTCCTCCCGTGCGATGGACTGTCTTTTCACTTTCTTATTGGACCAAAGTTTTTAATTTTTTTTTTTTTTTTTGAGATAGAGTCTTGCTTTGTTGCCCTAGCTAGAGTGAGTGCTGTGGCGTCAGCCTAGCTCACAGCAACCTCAGACTCCTGGGCTCAAGCGATCCTTCTGCCTCAGCCTCCCGAGTAGCTGGGACTACAGGCATGCACCACCATGCCTGGCTAATTTTTTCTATATATATATTTTTAGTTGTCCAGATCATTTCTTTCTATTTTTTGGTAGAGACGGGGTCTCGCTCTTGCTCAGGCTGGTCTCGAACTCCTGACCTTGAGCGATCCACCCGCCTCGGCCTCCCAGAGTGCTAGGATTACAGGCGTGAGCCACCGCGCCCGGCCCGAAAGTTTTTAATTTTGATGAAGTGCAATTTTTTTCTTTTGTTCCTTGTGCTTTTGGGGTCAGAGCTAAGAAAGCATCGTCCAACCCAAGGTCAAGAAGAGCGCACCAAGCCCCTGCTTTTGCATTTATCGCTACTTGAGATTATTTCATCATTTGTTTAATTATTCATTGTAAAATGTGAGGACCCCGAGGCGGGGCTGCCAGACAAGACGCGGGGCTGACGCCCAGTGAGCCCGACTTTCAGGTAAACAGGGAAGACTGTCCCTGTGCAACGGAGTCCAGACACTGCACGGGGCATTTACAATCAAATTATTTGTTCTTTGAAATTTAAATTCAACTGCCCTCCAGGTGTTCTTTCTGGAGCAGGGGAAGTAGCTCCCTTTCGCCTAACTTATACTCTTCTCTTTTATTGTGATAAAATTTACATAATATAAAATTTACCATTTTAATTGCTTTTTTCTTTTCTTTTTTTCTTCCTTTCTTTCCTTTTCTTTCTTTTTTTATTCTTTTTTTAATTCTTTTTCTAGGCTATATAACAACCAGCTATTTCTTCTTTTTTTCGCCTTTTTTCTTTTCTGATCAGACCACCAAGACCACGTTTGAATTACTGCTAAGGGCGCAGTAACTTGGAAAGAAACCGCGGGCTGCAGCCCAGGCCTCTCAGGCCCCGCCCCCGTTTCCTAGCAACGCCAGACACTCCGCCCAGGCCAGGGGCGTCGCCCACCGCGGTCACGTGCAGTCGCCGCCCGGCTTCCGTAGCGCAAGCCCGCGTGCGCTTGCGCGTGCGTGTGTGCGCAGGCGGGGCGTCCGGCGTGTCCCCGCGCGCGCCCGGGCCCCATGGCGCCTCCCTGCGTGCGCGCGCCCGGACTGCGTCCCCCGCCGGTACTTATAGCGGCCGCGGGCGGCGGCGACGGTTGGCTCGGGGTCTGCGCGGACGGCGACATGGCGGCTGTGCTGCTCGCGCTGCTGAGCTTCGCGCTGCTGGGCGTCCAGGGCGCCGCCGGGGCTGGTGAGGACCGGGCCGGGGTCGCGGGGCCCTCAGCGGACCCAGGGTGGGGCCCCGGCCGAGGCTGTGGGCCGCGGAGCCCGAGCGGGGGTTGAGGCCGGCGGGCTCCAGGGAGAGTCGGGAGGCCGGGACCGGGAGAAGCCGCCGGCAGTGGGGTCGCGACCCTGGGGTCACCTGGGGGCGAGGGGACCTTGACCCGGGGAGCGGCTCGGGGCGAGGAGACCCTAACTCGGGGAGCGTCTGGGGGCGAGGGAACCCCGATCCGGGGGTCGGCTGGGGGCGAGGGGTCCCCGACCCGGGGGGCGGCTGAATGCGAGGAGATCCCGACCCGGGGGGGCCTGGGGTGGAGACCAGACCTGAAAGGTGCATGGGGCCAGGGGACCCCGACCCCGGGGGACCTAGGGGCCTTCCAGGCCGGGGTGGCGCCTGGAGGTGAAGCAGGACCCTGAGGAGTTGTGTGCAGCGACAGTGCTTGGGGGTAAAGTCCCCGAGGTTTTGGGGGTTCCGGGGATCCAGGAATCCCTAGAGGTGTCTCCGCCCTGGTGTGTGTGAACGTGAAGTCCCAGGCTTGGGGGCAAGAACTGAGGAGTCCCAACCAGGACGGTGTTGGAGGTGAACATCCTGATTTTGGGTGGCCTGGGGAGGTGTCCTGGTTCAGAGGTAGGATCTAGCTGTCCCCTGGGCCAGGGCGTCTGGGGAGCAGGTTGGAGGTGGCCCACCTGCCCTGCCCACTGACCCTAAGCCTGGCTCTGTGAGGATCCCCTGTGGACTGCAGCTGGGGTTGGCGGCTGGTCTGGTGCCTATCCAACTCTTCCACGGACTAGACCCCACAGGGCTGGGGAGGTGGCCTGAGAGTTGGGCCTTGAGTGTGGCCCACCCTTCCTGGGGAGCGTTAGGGCAAGAACCCCCCCAACTCCAGGACTCCCTGGGGCCCCTACGTGGCCTGTGCTGCCCGAAGCGGCGACCTTGGCACTCTCGTCTGGAAAATGGGCTGTTGTCCTCAGTGGACACGAGACCAGGCACGCATGAATGGCCCTGAAGTGGGTCAGCTCCCTGGCTCTGGACAGGATTATCGTTCTTCACAAGATTTGGCCCGGGCGTCTGGCCCGGCTGTGCACCTGCTCCCTGGTGTCTCCTAGGCACTAAGCCCTGGTCAGGCTCTCCCTGAGGGGCCCTGCCTGGAGGGAAGCAAGAGCTCCCTCAGGGTTACCCTGCACTGCTCTCTGAGTTTGCCAGGTTTCGGGGCCCAGAGTGAGATGGAATCCAGTACCCCTCCTGCTGTGCAAGTGGGAAAACTCCCGGGAGGGGGGGTGGACATATCCCAAGTTCGCCTTGGTCACATCCTTTTTCAGCAGACTCACGCGGCATTCCGTTCTCAGCGCCTTTGCTGGGGGATGGGGGGGAGGATGTGTTTTGGGGGTGGGCAAGTGGTGAGAAAATGCTCACCAGAAATGGATTGAGGGGTGTTTTTCCAGTAGAACAGCAAGACAGCCTTTCTTGCTCAGTAGAGAGACATTTTCTTTCCTGATTGGGAACCCCTGTTGGATTCTGAGTTGAAGTTTATAGTGACCGTAACATGGGGAACAAGGAACAGAAGCAGAGGGTCTGGGCTCTTGGAGGGGTCGGAGCAGGAGCTTGAGCAGGTGTCCTGAGCCGAGGGCCACAGGGTGTGGGAGGGTTGGGGAGGGGGCGCCTTTTGTAGAAGCTTCAACAGGTTACTCCTGGTGCACTTGTAATTTTGCCTCTTCTTGAAACCCCAGGCGGCCCTTACTGAGCACCTCCCAGGTAAGGGCCTTGGCCCAGCTCCTGGAAGACACAGATAGGAGCCCCCAGCAAGGTGAATGCAGCAGATAAGCTGCTGTCTCCGAGCTGTCCAGAAATAGCCCTGGGTGCCCGGAGTCGGCCACCCTGTCTGGGTTTCAGGAGCAACACTGAGGTGATTGGGACAGCCAAATGGGTGAGGGACCTTTGGTCTTCCCTGCTTGGTGGCACCGGTCACAGTTTTGTTCCTCTTATGTGGGAGACGAGCAGGGTTCCTGTTAAGCAGAGAGCTTAGCACTGGGTTTAATCCAGAGGCCCAGCCTAGGAAGCAAGTGGAGCCTGCTGTGCCCGTCCGGGGCTGTCCTTGCACCATGCAGCAAAGCGTGCGCACTGGGACGCGTGTCTGAGTTCACGTGGGCAGGTGTTTGTGCTTTCTTTTTCTTTTTCGCTTTTAACAGCTCCACCTTTTCTAGGGACTCTTACAAAAATCTGAAAGTCTGGGTCATAGGGCTATGTCCCACGTGGCACAGACACCTAGGTTTTCCCTGTGGGTTAGTGACCGTGTTACGGCCCCTCCTGGCCAGGACAGCTCTCCAGAAACTCACCTCAGGGGCTCCTGTTGGAGGTGGGTGCTCCCGGCTTGGCTCGCCAGGGGCAGGACAGCGCCTGGCTGGGGGTGGGAGGAGGGTAGAGCAGGGGAGGTGCCACCCTGGCTCCCCACTATGTTCTTGCTCCACGATCTGGGGAGGGGCTGCCCGTGGCCGCCTCCCACAGGGCTCCCAGCACGGCTTGTTTACCACACGGCCCTGCCTGGCCCGGTGCCCTGGCCTGGCTGCCGAGTGGGTAAGGAGGAGGGGTGGCTGTTTTTAGATGAAGGTGACTTTACTTGAGAACGTGGGTGACTGATCACATGGCCAGAATCGAATTTTAACTTTTTTGAGGTGGGAGGCGAGGGTCAGGCCTTCACTCCGTGCTCTTGGGTGGAGGCTCTTGGTTGGGGCATGTGGCCAGGGTCACTGGAGGGCAGGGCTATCCACCATTGCCCCCTGAAGAGCTTTCGGAGACCCTGCTTCCCTAGTGGCCCACCCTAGCAAATTTTTTTTTTTTTT